CAAAGTATATTTTAATTCTATTCCAATGTCTTCAAGTTTAAAAAAAAATTATATCTTACTAATAAATATACAGCAAATAATATATCAAGTCCTGTATGCCTAGGAAAATACATTAATATTCTAATGGCACTATGACATGGTACTTCAGGACCAAGATGCTTTTCATTATCTTTACAACGATGAAAAGATCTTTTTTCTACATCTAGTAAGCTTAGAACTATTGGTGAACTTAATAGATGTGTTTTGTCCATATAAAATCATTTTAACACTTTTGTTATATAATTAGATTAATGGACAAAAATTCACTTGTCAAGTGTTCAATTCGAAGACTTAAACAAAACTTTGTTTTTCCAAGGTATTTCTTAAATTCTTTATTTAAGTAATACATGGCTTTTGATAACTTTTTAAAAGTTTCAATAATGTTTAGATCATCAACATAAATAGCAATTATCACAAATTCATATTTGAATCTTTTTATAAAAACACATGGGCGTATAGATTACTTTATAACTTTTTTTAACAAATATTCACTAAGGCGATTATACCACGTGTCTAGATTACTTTAATCTATGTACATATTTATTGAATATGATAAAATAAATTTTTCAAAAATTCAAATTTTGTGCTTTAGGTAATTTAAATCCTTTAAGATTTTTCATATAGATATCAATATCAAAAGAGCCACATAAATAGGTTGCAGCTACATTCATTAGACACTTTTTAGTCTTCTCATATATTGCTAGACTAGTTAATATAGAATTGTAATTGCATCTACCATACAGAATTTATCTCTTTGCATTCAATACCAAATCTTTGGGTAAAACCTTATGCGCCAAGCCATGCTTTACGTTTTATAATTGTTAGGAATTTTGAGAATAAGGTGCCTTAGAAAGCAAGTATAATCTCATGCTTAATTTCAATAAATTTATTTGTAATGAAAGTACATTTTGATAATAAGACGAAGATTTTGTTTAAAGTAAGCATTTATTATCTAGTTATTAAGGTACCATGATTCTATTGAGATATTAACATACATTTATATGAAGAGTCATATATAAGAGACATGTATTTCAATTGAATATAAAAATTATCAACAATTGAATATAAAAAAGCTGGTCACTTCATTGTGTTAAGGCTGTAGTGTCTAAACTACTTCCAATGAAACAAATATGATTCATTTGTAAGGGAATGATGAGTTTCAAATCATCGAAATAGTTGACTTCAAGTAATGACACTATAACATGAATTGAAATCATATGAGAATTAAATTTAAGTTTAATTGTTACTAAAATCTTGATCTCACACTTATACATTTGCTTATAGTAGAACCGAAATTTGGATAGATAGTGGACTCGTGTTTAATCTTCTTATAATATTTGATTTACCATGAGCATGATCGTCATAAAGTGTTGATGTAGACTCCGTATTTTGATATTATAATTGAGATGAATATCTGAGAATATATATCCAAATAATAGAGTTCATAGCATTAACATCACTTCTAGCGATTTTAGAAAGATTAGTGCTTAATCTGGGCCAAGTGGATTGATGAATTAGCTGCTCATCACATTTAGATACTCAAAAGATTAGATTTAGAGTATTGAATCACTAATTGGATAAACTTTGACATTAGGGAACAAAATTGACATAAAGGGTAAAATGATAATTTTACCTTTTGTCATTGGGTAGTTATTAGGGTTCACAATACAAGGTTTGTAATTGGACAACTAATCATTAATATCAAGTATTGAATTGTTTCTTATAATTATAATTAATCCAAGTGTAACCATGAATCTATGGTGAAGTGAGTTCATGGTTAACAAGCTTGAATTATTTTTAAATGAGATTAAGAATAATTCTAAGTTTATTGAAGCTTGGAATATCTATGTCCAAATAGATTCCCCACTTAGCTTTGTAGAATTCAACTTGCTTAAGTTGGAATTCATGTTTATTTGACTAATTAAATTATGTACAAAAATGACAACTTTAATATGTTTGTCTTAATTAAGACAAGAAAACATGTTTGGTCTTAAACAAGAAAATATGTGTGTCTTAATTTAAGACAAGAAAAATATTTTTTTTCTTAATTTAGAGAAGAAAACATATTTGTCTTAATTTAGATAAAATAAAATATTTTTATCTTAATTAAAGTCAAGAGTTGTCTTAAATTAAGATAATGCTAGGAGGATCTTTGCAAAATGAATCTAGACATCTATGTTGATAAAAAGAGGCTCCATGTTTGGTTATAACTCTTTTATTTATTATTAATTATTTGTAAATAAAGATGGATAATAATAAATTAAGAGTTATTATTCGATAAAGAGTTTTATTTATGAAGAACTCTAAATGATAATTAAAGAATTAAATTATTTATCCTTTAATTTTAATTTTGATAAATATAGAGCATGTTTGATGCTTCCATAACTCTATATAGATGGTCAAAATCAATTCAAAGATGTTTGATTTTGATTAAACCTTTGAGGTAAGAGTTTTAATAAAAAGAAAATAGATTAGAAGAAAATAAATGAACGTACTTTTTTCTTGAGAAAGTTTCAGCTATCACTTCTCTCCTCTTCCAAAACTTTACCGTTTCTTTCTTCCTCTCTCCCATTCTTAGCTAAATTTTTTTTGAATGATGTGTGTTTCCGCTTGTGTAATTGAATTGCTTGCTTCACTTATAAAAGAAATTTTTGAAATGAATGCTTTATATAATCACATCAATCTATTAAGATCCTAATCCAACAATTGGTATCAGAGTAAGGATTATTTCAAATTTGGTTTCCTATATTTATTTTGCATGATTGGCACCTTTGCATATATTTAACTATCTTGATGTGATTAATGTATGGTTATATATTATAATGCATGATTCAAGGTTTTTGCCACATTAAATATCTTAGAAAATTTTACATGTAACCTTTTTCTTTGGGCTATATAACATGAAGGGTGGCCTATCATCACCATGTTTACTTCTTGATTTTTTTTTTTAGATTTATGTAACTAGGAAAAGCCATATAATTTTAATATTACTTGATGTATTTGGTGCATTCATGGAGAAAAAAGTTCAAAGCCAAAAAAAAAAACAAAAGGATTTAAGTAATATTTGGTCTCTTTAATTTTTTTTAAGGAAAAGGAGCTTTTCTTGTATTAAATTTTTTAAGAAAAAGAGTTTTTCTTATATTAAAATTTTGTTATTATAAGTATAAATATTTTTCTATTAAACAATATATTTTTGTAATAAATTAATTTTTATTTTAAAAAATTATATATATTCTTAAAAAAATTTTAAAATTCATTTTTTTGGAAAATTAATTCATTTTAGCCTTGGAATGAAACTTATTTTATTTTGGTATTAATTAATGAGATTAATTAATTGAATAAAATAAAATTATTTTCTCAAATTGGGTCAAAATTAAAATTAAAGTTGACGATTTTAAATAATCAAAAAATTCAAAAGAATGCCGAATGGATGTGATCTTAACAAATAGTAGAAGCAAGCAAGATTGAAGAAAATTACAAGTTGTAATTTAAAAAATTTTTTTTTTCCTATGATGGATATTAATGTGGCTTATTATTATATATATTTATATGTATCTATATAAATGATATTAGATTTTTATTTGTATGCTTGAAAACATGTCAACTAGAATTAAGTTGCCAACTTTTCTTGAGGAATGCCAAACGTGCATTATGTATTTTAGTTTAAAAGAAGTTTTATGCTATGAGATACATAACGAATATAGGAAAATAAATCACATTTAGATAAGATGGAATATAGACTTAGTTATATACCAAAAGTGTTTAGTTGAAAACATAACCAAGCCAATAAGACCTTATTGATGAGACAAAGGGTCAATTGATGTAAATTTAAGTATCAAAAAAAGGTGATGGGCGAAAGTAATATTTTGAAATAAAATATTTTACTCGTGAGAAAATAATAATATTTTTATCGAGGATGAATTAGCTAGTTAAAAGATGATTTGAAAGTGAATTGGGACAAAGTGAGACACTTTGAAACCTGAGGAGACAAGTGGAGAATTTTAGAATAAAATAATATTTTATTAATAAAATAATATTAAAATATAAATATTTTATTAGTTATTGAAATTAGCCATAAAAGAGGATTATATGGCTAATTTAAGTGAGGGAGAAGAAGAAATAAAGAATTTTGAAGAAAAACGACTTAAGTGGGGCTCGCATGCCTTTATTTAATAAAATAAGAACAGGTAAGTATATATTTAAATATTATGATGACTCTTTTGATGAAATACAAATTTGATATTTTATTTGTAGAAGTGTAAAGGAAGAAAGATAGAAAGAAATTGAAATTTAAAAGAAATGATTGAAGGATCAAATTGTAAAAGACGAAAGGTACGGGGGGTCGAATAGTAAATAAGAAAAATTTGAGGATTTATGTGTAATTTCAATATTTGAAGGTAAAGAGATATTAGCTAATCAAGGAAAGCTAGCTTATGTGGGATAATGAGATGTACATGTGAATTCATAATTACATGCAAATTATAGCATGCAAAAAGAAGAAAGTTAGTAGAGAACATGTGAGACCCCACCATGTGAAAGTTGATAAAGAAGAAAAGAATAAAGAGTATTTAAGTGAAAGAAAACTTGAGTTTGGCAAAGATATCCAATGGTAAACAAAGTAAGGTTGGTAATATGATTTGATAAGAAAAAGAAAGAATCATTTAGTTGCATGAAATCTTATTGGTTTTAGGGAGGTCAAATAGGATTCAAGAGTGGAAAAATGCATGAAGCCTTATTGGTTCATGGGATGGCAAAGGCTATTGGTAAAGAAAATGTGCATGAAACAATATTGGGTAATAAAATGGCCGAATGATGGAATGACAAGTGGAAATTAAAAGAGATGAAATGAAATGTGAATTGAGATGAAATGAAAGGAAAATGTTTCCATTTGCTTGGGCAATCCGTCCATGAAAGAAAAGTAAAGGAAAAGAAGACTTTCACAAGACCATTTTAAACAAAATTCTTGTGATATCTGCCCATACTAAAGAAAGAGCAAACAAGTGACTTGCCTTGAGAAATCTACCCCATTTGGAAGAGAAATGAATAGAGAATGGCTTGGTGAGGCTTCCACCTGAGAAGAGAGAAAGAGTTGAGTGGAAAGGCAAGCTAAGTGAAGGCTTGATTTTGGAGGAGGTTGGAGCAAACCAAAAAGTTTTCACTTGCATGCCATTGTTGGAGCTTGAAAGAGAAAGTGGAGGATTGGCTTGGTGATCCTGAGGTAAGAAAGATGAAAGTTATTATTTTGTTTGAATGCATGCTTTATAAGCCGATTGTGATGTGAGATTGTGCTTGTGGTAGCAAGGATCTATAAAGATTCAAAGAACCCGATGCATGCATGTTGGTGGATCTTGGAATGTATGGTGATTTTGAGCTAGACAAGTAATGGGTAAGTGTTTTAGTCTTGAAATCACAAGTAAACAAGGAAAATAAGATGTGTATTAAATGTCTATGCTTGTGGCAGCAATGGTGACCAAGGATGTGAGGGAATTGTGAATTGTATGTGGAATTCAAGCTAAAATCGAGAAGTAAGCATGCAAATTGACTATATTGTGTTGTGTTGGCTTTGGTTGGTTGAGATATATGGATTGTATGTTAAGTGATTGTGAATAATGTTGATAAAATTTATGAAATTAGGTTAAGGAATTGTTGATTGATATGCTACCCGTATGTGAGTACAATTAAGTGAATTGGGTTTCAATTGTTGCTAGGAAGTGTGTGAGAAAGAGAAGTTTGCTGTGGTGGCATGCTGGATGAGGTAATGGGTGACTGGCATGTAGAATTAGCTAGATACACACCCGAATCAATAGCAACGTAATGTCCCATTATTGTAAGGTGAGTAAGGGTGTCTGTTTCAAGTTCTATAAACTATATATTGATATTCGATAAATAAACATTGTCAGTTTTCTTTAAAGTGCCATTGTGAATAGCATGAGTTCTTAGCCTTGGTAGGCGATTTTAAAATGAAATTACAATCGATTATATGATTATTGTGGAAAGCATGAGTTAGTAGAATGCTAAGCACTTGTGAATGCCGTGTTTTTAGAAATGTTTTGTATATATAAATATATACAAGTTATATATGTAAAGTATTTTAGAAACTAGGAAACAAGCCGTTTGCAATGTTTTGCATCAAAAATCATGCCTTGTGTCTTTGTGTGACATGCATAGTTAAAAGCACTTGTTAAATCGTTTAAATGCAATTTTTGAGAATTAGTTTTAGTCCGATCTTTATAGAAGTGTTTACACCATGCATTTAAATGTGAAAAGCAATAATTTGAAAATTATTGAACCTTGCTTTCAAATGATTTAAAACAAAAGACTTGGAAACCTCGATTTGGTATTGAAAACGATTTTGACAAACTGAGAAGGTCGAGAATAGGTCGAATGCCACATCCAGATAGTGTGACCCTTGCGTACAAGTAAGCTTTAGCTAGAGAATCTATGGGTCATTGACGGGGCTATTAGACGTGGCTGGGGCCATGGTCTATGATATATACGTGGCAAGGACATAGGTTGATATATGCAGCTAGGCCATAAGTTGATATACGTGGTTGCAACCACCTCATTTCTCTAATATCTGCCAACATCGTCGACACTACCATGGCTGTGGGAATTTGATGGAGCGAAGCTCCCAAATTGTTATTACATGGAAGTGGGTCCACGAATTGATTACTATGCTTACCTACTCGAGAGCCTTGAGAGTTTTTAGACTCATATTCTTTTGCATAGTGGAGAGTTAATGTTTTTCCATAGCTTCCTCTATTTGATTAATAGCTTTCAGTGCTTTATATGTGAGAATGAGTTGATTTATGTGGATGTTAACATTGATTTTGACATGCCACTCATTTTGGGAGTTGCATACTTTTATACAGTTATTTCCATTTTGTTGGAAAAAGATGATTTCGGTGATTAAAATTTATTTTGCTAAGCTTGTTTTTGGCAATGTTTTGCTAATGAGAGTACTACATTATGATTTTATAACATCATTTTTTTACAAGGCACAAATACGATACTTATGATTTGGTTTTATAAGATTATCATTTTATATTTTGGTTTTATTATTCAAATGATCTGCTTTAAGCTTGTTTCCCATTTACACCCTACTCACTGAGTCGATGGTCACTGACTCTGTGAGACTCACCCTCTTATTTCCTTTTTGCGGATAGTGATTAGCCTAGCATGCATTCATCGGCATTTATAGTCCACTGCGGATAGGTAAAGGCATCTCATAGCACTTTATTCCGAATCACTCCACTGCTAGAGGTCGAGTCTTGCATAGCATGATGTATTTGTAAATAGTGACAATGTAAATGTGTAGTTGGATACTATGGACTTTAGTGTATTCTAACAATTATGATGAATAAAAGATAAGATAGCTTATTTCGATTTATGTTCAATTCTTATTACAAAAAGTTTTATGGTTCAAAGTAACTTCATAGATTGATGGTATGAATATGAAGTAATAACTAATATTTCAATTAAGGCTTGTTCGGGACTTAGCGAGTTTTTCAGCGAGACTCGGATGCTAGTAGCGATCGAGGAGTAGTCATTACAAATTTGACTTAGGATATTGTAAATATGCTTCTAGAAAATCTAGTAAAAAGTCAATCAAAACCCTAAGTATAAAAATATTGAGTGGGAGAGGATATTAATAATCCTAGAGTCCACAGTCTCTATTGTTGGCCCATTGGCATGTGAAACATGTCACTCCCTATAGGCAGATATGAATCTAGATCATGACGAACTGGGTCTCTGGAAGGATAAATAATTTTAAGTGGATTATGAAGTGAGGCCTCTCATAAAGGCTTACTAAGAAAGAAACAATGGTTGTTACAATCAACATGAATATACTATTAACTTGCCTATAGTAGCTCTATTAGTAAACTTCATGGACCAAATGAAAACACGCCTTAACCATGTTAAGTATGAAGATACTAGGCAACATTGTTAAGTGGGAGGGTCCTAGTTTGCTTGGTAGTAAATAATCACGGCCCATAGTTGGTTAATTTATTATAGAAAGGTAGATGACCATTGAACTAATAATACAATTTATAGTGTTTTACATATTGTCATCATGCATACATGCATCATGAAATGTTCAAGTCCATAAATAACGAGTATGCTTAAATAATTTCAAAATGTACTTTTAGAAACATATCTGCATCACAAATATGAATCCACTTTCAATTTTGCTGAATAAATGCACTTTGAATGGTGATAACTACACTGAATGGAAAAGAAACCTTAATATCATCCTTAATTATGACAAGATCACATGAGTTCTTTCTGATTATGAGCTTGAAGCAATAACTCCCTAATCAACTCCCCAAGATATTGAATATCACAAGAAATGGCATGATTCAAATGAGTTGGCTAAATGCTATATACTGGCCTCTATAAACAGCATATTGAAGAAACAGCACGAAGGCATAGGTAAAGCTACTAACATAATGTTGCACCTACATGAGATGTTTAGTACAAGAAACAAGGTTTGCTAAGGTGAAAGCAACCAATGCTTTTGAGGACCTTAGGCAGAAACCTGAGGAGCTAGTTAGAGATTACATACTGAAAGTGATATCTTGTCTCAATGAGGCAGAACTAAATGGTGTTGAGATAGATGTGAAAACGCAAATACCAATGATCGTTCATAGCTTGAATTCATCATTTTCACAATGCAAATTGGATTATGAATTGCACACTAGGGCTTACACCCTAAGTAGGCTAATGAATGATCTCCAAAATGTGGAAGAGGTTCTTGATTTAAAAAAATAACTTGAAGCACATGTAGTTTCCACATTAAAGCTCAAACCCAAGGGTGAAAAAAAGATAGTTGGAAGTAAAAAGACTTTTAAGGGCTCAATGGGAGCAAAGAAAAAGCCTATGAAGAAAAAAACTGTTTCAAAAGACAATACCAAAAGAAAATGTCTCCATTGTGGTGTGAAAGGACATTGGAAGCGAATTGCATAGTTTACTTTGAAGAAATCCAAATGAGTAAACAAGGTATGGGCCTTTTCTAAATATTTTAGAAGCTTGTTTAGTGGTTGATTCTACTGATACTTGGATAGTAGATTTTGGAGCCACTAACCATGTTTGTAATATTTTATAGGGGTTTCAACAAAGGAGAAAACTAAGTAAAGGGCAGTTTCGGATGAGGATGGCAAATGGCACATTTGTTTTAGCATTAACAATGGGAGCCATTACTCTTCAATTTCCTTATGGCCGTAGCTTAGTTTTGGAAAATGTTTATTACATTCTGGAGACTTATAGAAATTTGATTTTTATCTTTTGTTTGATAAAGTGAGGATAGTAAGTTTATTTTAGTGAGACACTCTCTGTTTATTTCAATAAGGATTTTATTTGTTCTAAAATTGTAAGATATAATCTTTATTTCCTTGAAACTATGACTTATTCTACAAATGCTATAGAAGCAACATGATTTAGAACTGAAAGAGTCAGAGAATCTAGTATAAATCAAAATTATCTTTGGCATTTGCGTTTAAGTTATATCAATCAAAATAGACTCAATAGGCTTATAAAGGATGGTATTTTACTAGACATGGTTAAGGGTCCTTTGCTAGTATGTGAGTCTTGTATTGAAGCTAAAATGACTAAAAGGCTTTTCAAAGCAAAAGGTAACAAAATGCCAAACGGTCCAGACTTGGTGCACACAGATGTGTGTGGGCCAATGAACGTAGAAGCTAAAGGAGGTTAGAAATATTTTATAACCTTTATTGATGATTACTCAAGACATGGCTTTATTTATTTAATGCACAGAAAAAGTGAATCCTTTGAAAAGTTGAAAGAATTCAAAGCCAAAGTTGAAAAGCAACTAGGCAAGCCATTGAAAAAACTTCAATCAGATTGAAGAGGTGAGTATTTATCAAATGAATTTTAGCAATATCTCACTGATAATGGGATAATTTCCAATTTGTCAGCACGAAGAACATCTCAACATAATGGTGTAGTTGAGAAAAGAAATAGGACTCTTTTAGAAATGGTTAGATTAATGATGTCCAATGTTAACCTTTCAATCTCATTCTAGGGATATTGTATGCAAACTACTATGTACTTGCTCAATTTCACTCCATCTAAGGCTATGCCTAAGACAGCAAAGGAGTTGTGGATTGGGCATGAATCATTTGTACATCATCCGCAAACTTATGGCTGTCCTACATTTGTTTTAAAGCCTAAGTCCATAAAGATGGAACCAAAGACTAAAGTGTGCTTGTTCTAAACAAGAAAAAGTTAGCTTTCAAAATTGATTCTTTTATTTCCTCGTGGCTATGATAAATTAACCATTTGAACAATCTTGAAATTTAGAACTTACTTAAATAGTCCAAATTCATTAATAGCAAGCTTTATATGTCTTGACTACTTGAATTGATGTTTCTTAAAGCAAACTGAGCATACGTGAGAGAAATGGTTGCCATCCTAGAGCTTATAATGAGTTATGAATTGAACAAGTTTTACTACATGATTAGAATACTTTTCAACTTTTTCTTTTTGGATGTGCATGATGGCTTGCAAGCTTGAATGATCATAAGGGCATTTTTGATACATAATTGATGAATAATTGAAAATAAACCTTGCTATGCTTAAAAATGATTAACTAAGCTTACTACACATTTCATAAATCATTTAGAACATAATTGAATGACTTTGATCTCATTATTTTGCATGAAGCATGTCAAACTCAAATCTTCTAAGTTTCAACAGCAAAGCTTTTGAAAAGAGAAATTAAATTTTTGTCAAATGATTTTCTTACAAAATCTTCATGATTTCATTTGATTTCATTTTATTTATCCTTGATTTTGATGATATAGCTTTGTTGA